CTATTTATCGAAAGGAAAAATTCACCGCGATAAATCATAGCAAATTATAATATGATATATTTATCGACAGGTATCGCGATAAAAGAGATTTCTGCGATGAAAAAGTTCTTTATCGCGATGAATTTTTTCTTTAGATAAATACTAGAAAAATCGGTGACGCGTGGATAAAAATATCATTTATCGCGATAAATTTATCGAAAATGTCCTCATGGGTATTTCTTGTTATTTTATTCATACAAAACTGACCTCCATAATCGATCTTTTATTGACAATAAAAGCTGCCAATAAAGATATGTAATACATGAGCTATAGACTATTAAGAAGAATTAATACTTAATAGTTGTGAGGATTGAACTTTTGTCGGATATTCGACCTTTGGTTTCTTAATTAATAGACAAAATTCAGTTTTTAAATTTAAAAGGCAATTCAAAAAACTATACACATAATTTTGTAGCTTGACACCTTGATTTTCTGTGGTAAAAATTTCAAGGGGTTTTGGATATTTACTTTTGCTTGGGGTTAATATTTATTTTAACCAAGAGCATAATTTCTCCTCAAATATCGCTGTGTTTCTCACTGTAATGACATTCCTGTCTGTATAATCTCTCTACTAGTTCAGTTTGATCACACTTATAAACTGACGATCCAACGCAGGTAAGACTACTGTATAATGTTTGTCAAGATACGAAAAAAGAAGCCAAATGAATAATAAAATGAATCAAGGAAAAAGAATAATAAAATCGGCATTTATAAAAAAACGCAGCGGCTGCGTAATACAGTCCCCAATTCGTATTGTACACCTTTCTACTTCTGTTGTTTCTAGAAAGCGTGAATAAGAGTTATAGTAATGAACTTCATAATGCTTTTGCCGTTAAAGAATTGCTTATTGAACGTTGTCAATCATCGTCTGTAATATGTCAGCTAATATTAACACAATAGATGTACATGATTCAGATATTAATTTTATCAAAAGTTTGATCAGTGCGTGAACGAACATATGCTTTTTGATTAGACCAAAGACCCTCAACGGCATTTAGTTCGCAATGATATTTAGGACAGTAGATAATCTTAATACTGTATTTAACCGCCAGCATTTCAAGTTTTGTAACCTAGATAGAAAAGTAAATGATAAAAGGCGAAATCTATCTTTGAAAGTATAAAACGAGTTTCACTTACATTTTGAAACGCTGTTGAAAGTTCCGCTTCTTTCCGTTCATCTTCACTAAGCTCAAAAAACGGTCCACTCGGATGTTGAACGAGAAAATCCAAAATCATGTGACTCCGTCCACGTCCTTTCGAAAAAAACGGTGTATTCTCTCTGAAAAACCACCGTTTTGGGCTAACTTCACCACTTCTAAATGTTGATTCATCATGAACTAGTAAACATAAACACAAAAATAGCATAGAAATTATAATTAAAAAGTTTCGATTACTGCGCTTACATATAAGTATTCTATGAGGACTTTGGGCTAGAATATTCCATATGGGTGTGTTACCATTACTAATTGTGTAATAAAGTCTTTATGTGGTAGAAAATAACCAATAAATTCATTACGATGTTTCACTACATCATCTCTTTCGTGTCCTTCAAAATAGGGACGTTGTGAATTTGCGTCAAACTTAGCTCCTCATCTCCGAAGAACCAC